ACTACTGGAAGGATACAAGATGATGAAATGAAATGTTACAATAAAATTAAGTTAAACTTAGTTAAACTTTGAGTATTATGTATAAGACAAAGTAATAATAGTTATAGTCAAATAAATGATTAATAATGATAATAATGCATTCATATATACTAGAGTGATATATGGAATTTTATATAAGCTGTAAATGAGGACCATGGAGATGAAGTGAAAAAGTTTTTTTACATATAAGATAAACAATTCTATATAGAACAGAATACAAAGATGTAACACCATTGGATAAGTCCAGGATGATGTAATGAAATGCCATAATATAAATTTACTTTAAACTTAGTATGCTTCACAGAAAAATGATGTAATAATAGCTATATTCAATGAATGTTTAACAATCATAATTGTATGCATATTTATTAGATTGATGATATGAGCAATGGAATGTGCTGAAATGTGTAAGTTGACATATGAAATTAGAGAACAAGAAGATAAACATTTTTATAGGACATGGGATATATTTAATTAGTGGTTAGATTAAAAAAAATATGGAATTGAAAATCTATTAGAGAATGTTATCAACACCAAAATAATAGAATGATTTAAAATAGGATATAAAAAATACTTATTATTGGATATGTTGAAGATGATGTAACGAACTATTATAATATAAACGAACCCATATTTAGAACACCTCGTTTAAAATGATGAAATAATAGTGACAGTTAAATAAATGAAGTATACTGTATACAAATATACTTGGTTGACAATATGTGACTTTATATAAAATTTAAGGGATGACTATGGAAAGGATGCACAAAAATCTTGTAACCAATTGACACACTGTACGGAATGGAAGATGTTTTTTATGTTACGTGTTTTGTTTGTTTATGTTTGTTTAAAAAATAAAAAACTTTTTAAAAAATATCTTGGTGCGTCTTATACTCTGGTGCATCTTATAGTCTGAAAAATACGGTATATCTGGGGTGACATCTGTTAACCCTCAAATAATCCAACCATATTTTAGTCTATTCTAGACTAAAGCAGCACATTTGTTTTTATGACATATTGTTTCAGTATATTTATGCCTTCTTTTCCATAATTCTTCTTCATAGATTGCTTTACAATAAAGATCATCTAGTGTTAGTAATATGTATATTTTAAAATAAAATAGTTGGGTATAGGGTTAAACATACCATTCAAAGTAAATCTGAAGATGCTTAAATGCATTTTCATTGAGACTTATATTTAGACAGTTTAAAGGCTCCATCTCATAGTCATTTAAAATGAAATACCTGCATAGCATAATATTCTAATAGAGACGTCACATGCATGTTTTGAAAAATGCACAGTGGACACCATGATGAGATGGTCATTTAATCTAAGATGATGGATTTAGAGCAGAATCAAATAACACATTAAAATAATTATGGAGAAAGCAGTAAATGAAAACTCAAGAGTATAGTTCAACATGGAATTATAATTTGGCTGTAAGATTTTAATTATGACTGCAGTTGTAAAAGTTATTATGTTTGCAGAAGATAATCCATCACTGAATGATTACAGAGTGAGGGTCACTAGTGCTCTCTAGGACAGTCATATTGGTTTTAACGTTCCCCAGCTATTTCTTGCATAGAATGAAATGCCAGAACCACTAAATAAGACATCTCTCTCAATCAAAAGTAAATTCCAAAAGTTTGAAAATCACAGATATTGTTATTCCTTTTTAAAAACAATTCTTTCTCCCTCCCTCCCTCTCAAACACACACACACACACACACACACACACACA